AGATATAAGGTAACAAACTTTACACTACTCTTGTGTGCTTGGTTTTGCTTGCACAAATGGCATGTTTCTATGTTTATACGATTTTATGAATTCATACATTGTGATTGTGAATATATTTGAAATATGCCACATGCCTATTTGTTTTATGATAAATGCATGATAATTTCCAAACATGTCATTATGTTACAAAGATGTTAAGTTGCAAGCATGTTATGAATGCCAAGCTTGCTATATATATTTGGGTAGTTATTGTTTGCTATTGAGATTTTCTTGAATCTCATCCTCCCTTAACCAACCATAAGAGATGCAAGAGCATGGGTAAAGGAATTAAGAAGTGAAAGTAAGGAAAAGAGGAAAAGAGGAAAAGAATTGTATTGTATTATATTGCATAGTTTGTATGCAAATGTATATATGAGCATGCTACTGATGTTATGTGATGTTAAATGATGACGATGATATGTAAAATTGGATATGATAATGTACGGGAATGGTTAGTGCATAGATAGAATGATAATACATATGGAAAGAATTAATTATGAATTATTAATACAAGTTAGGGGATAAGTTATCCCTAAATGAGCCACAAAATGATGGCAAAGTGGAAGAAAAGTAAATGATTAAATCTGCCCATGCAATTTGGTATGATTAAATTACACATCCTAAGCTTTAAAACAAGTGGTAAATCACTTAAAATGAATGTGTGTGCTAAGAGTTATGCTTGATCAAATTCAAGACAGAGAAATTGTAAAGTACAATTTTTATCAAATAAACAGTGAACTTCAATGAATAAATTGTATGAATTGGCAAGGGTTTAGTCCATTTTTACATTTCTCTCCAATAGAGAACTGAAAGAGCTTCAAATAGAATTTTGAACTACCTCAATATGATTATTAGTTATGATTTTTCAAAGTGGGACTAAAAATTTGGAATATAACTAGTGAACAGTAACCCGATAACTAATTGTAAATTTTCAATCCACGGGCTTGTTTCATGATCCACTTGAACTGTAACGATTCCAAATGCGTACTCTGAGGGGCTAAAAAAAGGATGTTATACTCCACCACCACTATCATCGAAAAGCTTAATGGCAATGTGATCCTTGCTGAATCATACCATAATCACATATAATTAGCAAATAAGACACACATTTAATCGTAATAAAAACCACAATTTAAGGAAAAAATTTTTTACAAAACATATTCACTCAACTCCTTTTCTGCAACCATAAACACCATGTAACGGGTATGCATACCCCTATCCCTAGTAATCAAAAAACACCGATCAACTTAGAGGTAAAAAAATGAAAACCTGCATCTATTTTCATGTTGAGAAAAAAATTATGAACCTCTTATTCGGTACCTCGAAGACTACTCCTCCCTTATCGCTTGAATAGGCATGAACTTGAAGCAAACAAGCATTAAATGATGTGATACCTATGATGCATACCCCTGACCAAACAAGAAATGTTGTATGAAATAGCACTTCTCATCAACGAGCACATTGTAAAAACGATCAATCATCTCATCTCCATCTAGCCAAAGCAACATCCTCATGCTATTCACCAAATCTAAAAAAAAAAAAAAGAGTAGACTAAAAATTTGAAAACGGAGGCCAAAAAAAAAAAAAGCAGAAACATTTCCTACTACCTATTTGTCAAAAACAATCATGTCTAGTGACACCAACCTCTTCAAATAACCACAGTCCCTTTTGTATAGATAAGCAACTGTCATTGGAAAAACCTTCTCTACCCTCACCATAACCCACCAAGTCTTAATCGAAGTTAACAAATTGGCAAGCCTGTCATATTTCTTGACTGTGGTCACAGTGTAAAAGCAGGGGAAATAGAGGGCGTAAAACAATGAGACAGCAAAAACTAAAAAAACTAAGGAGGCAACAAAACAGCTTCCAAGAATGAATAAAATACATAAGTTGCTCATAGTGAAAGGGGGTCTAAATAACCAAAGAGACCAAGGATGGCATACAAAAGGGCTATACTGAAAAAAAATGGATCATAGGGCTTTTCAAAAACATTAAATACATTAGACAACACACAACCATATGCATATATGCAATACTACCTCATGAATGATTACCATTACATTTCAATAAATGAAAATCATCCTATGATAAGGCACCTATAAAGAAAATATCATTATGGTCATGAAGCCTACCATGTACAGCAAACAAAGTCTAATAACACATATCTTACCTAGACCTGTCGCCTTCTACAAGAGCACTTGCACAGTTTCCACAAACAATCCATGGGCATGCACTCAATAAAAAACACACTTTCATCCCACGTGTGGAAAGGCTTACTTAAAGCTCCACAACCCCACCACACATATACATATTTGCACCTAGCCCAACAAAAGCTATTGAATTAAACAATAAAAAAAGTGAGCAAAATAGTACTCAGCTAGGTTGCATTAGTCTTAGGCTCTGCGTAACCATGATTAAGATTTCTTACTTTATATTGATTACATGGTATATAATAAAAAATATAAAAATTTTGATATGTCAAAAACCGTGAACTTTAATAATAATTTTAACTCCAAGTGAGTTGACAATTAAAATATGAAATATTATAGTTCTTAATTTAAATTTTTAAAGGTTAGGAAGGTTATATGCAACTGGTTGAACTATAAAGAGAGTTTTTGATATTTTGGCTTATACCAGTATATTATATTCTTCTTATAATCTCAACAACAATTATTATATATTTTTCGAAGAAATATAAAGTATTTGTTATGATTGGCCAAAAAAGAAATATTTGTTGTGGGGTGGCCAAGAAGTCGACAATGAAGGCATATTGAACTAAACTACCACTTCGTTGAGTCTAATACACGTGCACATCAGCTTACCTAAATGAAAGTGATTTGGCTCGTTTTTAGATTTACTTTACCTTTTTTTTTTCTTTTTTTTTTCTTTCTTTTATATTTTGAAGTTTATACAATAAAAGGAAAGGGGAAAAAAACACGAGTCTAGGAGGTGCAGAGGACGAACAGGCACTATAAAAAAAAATCACAAAAGCCCCTATAACACAGCTTCAAAGGTACACTTGGATAGGACATTTAATGCTCAAATTGTACCTGCACATAATTTTTTAAAAAAATTGTAATAAAATCCATTTGTAAATTATTAACATTTACTGCTTATTTTATATATATATATATATATATATCTATATGATTTCATTTCATTTTTTTTTTAGTTTAATTTTGTTGGCTTAATTATCTTAGATCATCCGTCAAGCCAAACAAACATGAAACACCAACCAAACACGAGACCATAGTTAAAGAGAAAACGTTGAATTCGTTCAATTAAATGTTATTTTTTTGTATAAAAAAAATTTTAGATGAGTTTGATTTTAGGAGTTTACGAAGGATAAGAGATGCCTACAGAATTAAAGAGTGTTTAAAAAGATATTTATAAGTTGGCTATCAAAAAGGTCCTTATATCAGCAACAAAATTAATTGTAATTAGTCTAACATAATGTTATCACTGATTTAATCGTGGGTTTAATTTGTTTTCTTGGAAAAAAATTGATAATACTAATTGAATTCCTTGAATTTTGATTGTACGTGTGAGAATAATCATGGGCTGCTTTAAAGTCACAAGGCCCATCATAATTTTTACGAATGGAGATACAAGGAACCAAGTCAACTTACGTAAAAGCGCTTGTGAATACCTACTCTTTATTTTCTTCAATTATTTCTGTTTTTCAGCTGGCTACACGTTTGAAAGTTACCCCTTTGCGTCCAAACAAATCCAAAAAAAATAATTATGATATAAATATTACAAAATGATTATTATTATTCTCTCCCAAGGCACAATTCTTCGTTTATATGTTATGAAAAAGCAATATAAAATTTTATCCATAAAAAGAAAAGCAATATTATAAGATAGAAAAATATGCCAATCCTCATATTGAATAGTTTGTAAATAGTATAATTTATTTTGTTAAATCCATACAAAACACAAGGATTCACCAAATAAAATAGAACTTATAAAAGATAAAACTTTACAAGAGTTATATTGTTTATGAATCAAGAGTAAAATAATTTATTTATCACATTCTTTTATGCCTAGATAGTTTTATCTATATAATTAAAAAAAACTCAACATAACATATAATTAAAAAAATTGTAATAGATCATATTTTTCACAAATTAATAGTATAATTTATTTATTGACTTCATGTAATGAACAGAAAAAAATCTAATAAAATATAAAAAAGTTAAAGTATACATTTAGTCATTTAACTTTATAATCCATTAATCTTAAAATTGTCAACAAAACATGATGATACTGAGATTTTAAATATTAATAAAGCATTTCAAATGCAAATATAATAAGTTTAATTTTCAAAAAAATTATTATTGTTACAAAAAATCATAATTTAAACCTAATGATTTTAGGTTGAAGGACCAAAGGTATAGTTTATAAAGTTAGTAAACTAAACTGAAACTTTGTATGAAATTAAAGAACGAAACATATACTTTAGTCAATATAAAATCTATAGGTTCTATTGTTTCTGAATTACCATAAACACCGTAGTTCATTTATCGAGTTTATGTAAAACATCTGAACGCACCTAGTCATTAACACTATCCATGAATTAAGCACAATTATAATTATGATTATAATAATAACAATAGTTAAATCAAGTTTTTAATATTTATTGTGTTAAATTCTCTAATCACATAAGATAAGGTGTTCTATTTTTGAAATATTAGAATTTAATATCATTTCGTGATAAATTCATGTAAAACAAAAAAAAGAGACACATGATGATTAGAGAACTTGATATAATTAATTTTAAATAAAATACCAGTGCTAAACATTTATTTGCTTGATAATGTGTACATTTAAACCGGGGAAAAAAACCCCAACACCTTTATGGCAAAGGCATCTAGAAGCATAGCCAGCTATTTCACCCAAGAAAGAAAACCAATAAATTAAAGATAAAAAAAGACCAATTTAGAAAAAAGAGAAGAAAAGATTAAAAAAAAAAGTGTGCACTATAAATAATTATATTTTACAGAGGTTGGTCAACAATTCTCCCTAAGTTAGCACCTAATTGTCTGCTTTATGTCACTCTCATCCATCGACACCAAAGCAAAATGCCTTCCCCTTGTTCCCATTGAACAAGACGACCTTTTAAGGGTTCCTGAACAGTAAAATTTCATCTTCTTCGTCTTCATCAGATTTCTCAGAATCATAATCATCATCAAGAGGTACTTGGGAAGAAACGACCTAAGCTTCCATGATCCATAACAAACCCACCAATACCAAGATCAGTTGCATTATTGGAAGCTCTTGGATTATTATTATTATTACTACTACTGTTTAGTCTCTGAAGAAACCTACTCTGATCTCCAGCCTCAGGGTTACTACCGTGGAATGCCAAGTTTTGCTGCTGAAACAGCTGTGGCTGTTGCTGATGCTGCTGAAGATGGTAGCCTGCAGGTGGGCCAACCATGAGCCCGCCGGTCGGGCCTATGTGGGCGTGTCGCGGCCCGAAGCCGAAGCCCAGACTGGCCAAGCCTGATGATGCCGTTGATGATGGGGTTGGAGCATAGGGTGCACTTGGACCGCCGGTGAACTGCTGCACCATCGCGCGGAAGTTGGTGGTGTCTGTGTTGAGCAGAGTGGTGGGAGTTCGCCGGGAAGCCCGAGACCGTCGCCGGACGGGCTTCGCGACTCGGCCCTCTGGGCTGAGGTGGTGGGTGGACGTGGATGCTGAGGAGGTGGAATTGAGCATGCCGGGCAGTAGTGGTGGGCTGGAAGCAGTCACGCCCGCAGTGGAAACGACGGTGGTGACCGCGGTGGCATCGGCGGAAATCGTAGACGAAGGCACGCCATGGAAATCTTGCTGTTGTTGGTAGAATTGGAACCAGTCGTTGGAGGCAGACATGTTGTCACTCATGGTCATGGCCATGAAAGTTGAGAGAAGAGAGAAGAGGAGGTGGAGGAGGAGGAGGGGTTGGATAATGTAATGGGTAAGAGGGCAGGAAATATGTGAGTTGCGGTATTTATGGTTGTTGGTCAAAGGAAGGAAAGCTAGGGAAGATCCTGACCGTTGATTTAGGATGACCAGTAGATTCCAAGGCGGCAGCACGTGATGTGGCCCGTGGGGCTGTGGCCCCCCAATAGAAGAAAATGAAATCAGAACTGAAATTATTCTTCAGGATATCCATAAACAGTTGAGTGAAAAAAAAAATCGATAGATTATATTTATATTGACTCTCTAAATTTTTTAAAAAATAAATAATTAATTAAATTTAAGTTTTAAATTTTATTTTTGTAAAATTAATTTTGTTTAATTTTAAATTATGGTAGCATAAAAGTTTGATGTACTCATTCTTTTACTTATAATCTCAATTATATGTTTGATAGGCCTGCATGAAAATAATTAAGTCATGTCTTTTAGCAAGTTTGCACGCTTTTCTATTATATTTTTAATTTTAAAATTAGGTCGTTATATCTTTTTTTCCAGAAAAGGTACAAAATTTCTAATTTAATATTTTAAAGCACAAGTTTTTCATTTGCTACTTATATTTTCTTTTATAAATTTCAAATAACTAAATTACACAAAATTAGTTCAGGATAATAATATATAAAAATATAACTTATTTTTTCAAAACTCCCATATTTATGAAAAGTATGAGTGAGAGAGAGATTGAATTAAAAAAACAGAGGGACGTAAAATTAATTATAAATAAAAATAAAAATATTAAATATTAATGCAATTTTTACAGTTTTTAAAGTGTAATTCGTAAAAATGATTAGACTGATTTAAAAAAATTGAAATTTATAAAAAAAATGAAGTATGAAAAAAATTCATTTATTTTATGTAACTATTAAATGATAATGGGAATATCCAGGAAAAGACATTATAGAAGTCCACTAATTTAGACACACAACAGCTTTTACTTTAAACTGCATTAAATTGATGTCAACTGGAAAAAGATATACTGAGAGTCAAAAATTATTTATAAGAAAAGGATCTTGAAAGACCTGTATTTCAGATTATCAAACACTACATATATAGTAATTTTCTTTTGATAGATACTTTATCTTAGTTTAGTTCAAAAAAATTCCAAAACATGTGTATTTCTATGAACCCCCGGAAAAAATTCAATGCGGTGAACTTTTATTTCTGTAATAGTCCTTTCAATTCTTAAAATATAAATTAGTTTGAAAGTTAAATTTAGTTTTAAATACAAAATATCCATTTATTTTATTTCTTATAATTATCATTTTTTAAAATTAATTTAGCTAAACCATAAGTTAACACATGTAATTTTATATTACACAATGATGTTTAAAAAGATCATATTACATGTGTTATAACTAATAATTGATTTACTTTAACTTTTTTCAACCTTACTCACAGTGATTATAAGGATTGAGAGTATTTAATTGTCAATTCAATAATTCGTCATCGTCATACTATTCAAAAGGAAAATGAGAAACAAAGATTGCCATTTTACAGAGAACTTCTAGAAGTCTTATAAAGTTGATTTGACTTAAACGGTGTCGTTTGGTATGGAGCAAAAGAGGGGATGTATCTCCCTCCAGTTCGCATTGCGCGGTTCGAGGAAGCAACCCAAAAGACGCCAGCTAGGTCATGCTGACGTCATACAAAGAAGTGGGCCTCATCGTCATGTGGCGGTAGGTGACCTAGTCTTCGTCCACAAACGATTGTGGATCAAGACTTGCAACACCGAAGCTGCGAGGTACCTTCCCAAGTGAATAGATAATGGAAAGCTAAGCTTTGTGATTTTACCGTAAAGCTGTCCGTGAATGAAAAATTACTATATAGGCGACAATGGAAGAAATTCATAGTTATTTAAAGAGTTAAGGCAATCTCAACACCTCTAAATATTTTTTCAAATTCATCCAAAATCCTAAAATTATTTATGATATAATTTTACTCCCAAAGTATTTAAAATGGAGCAACCTTATCTAAAACTAACAGATTAGTTAGTTTGACTGTTAACATACTGATTGAGCCCAAATTTGACCTAAAAAATCCTACTTGGCATATTATATAAGCGCATGACGTGGTGTTTTTGTGATTGGAATTTTTTATCCATTCTATAAAAAAATTTCCAGATTTCTATCTAAGAAAATATCACCAAAAGAAAGCTAGGATTCATTTTTAGTAGGGAGAATGACATTGAGGTCCCACAGAAGCCAAAATACAGCAAAAAAGTCCCCTGAAATGTCATAATTTTTCTGAAGTCCCAAAGGGACTTAGATGCAATTTTAATAATCCACAAATTACTCTCTTGCCCCTAAAGTGAAATCCGTTGGAGCTCTCCACTGGGAAGCCACACACAGCCGGCTATGTTGGAGAAGTTGGAAAACGCAGCGTTGAAGGGAGAAAAGCTGTGGAGACCTAAGTGTTGAGAACGACGGAGTGAGAGGAGGCGAGTTTTGAAGGACGCAAACAGAGAAGTTGAGTTCTGGGAACAGAGGGCGCTGAACGACGGAGTGAACGACGGAGTGAGACGAGGCGAGTTTTGAAGGACGGAAGCAGAGAAGTCGAGTTTTGGGAATAGAGGGCGCTGGACGACGGAGGTAGAGACGGTGATTTCTAAGAACAGAGGTAGCTGAACGACAAAGGCAGAGATGCTATTTTCTGAGAATGGAAAGTCATTGAACGACCGAGGCAGAGACACTGATTGATCGGGAACGGAAAGTCACTGAACAGCGGGGCAGAGACGGTGATTTCTGGGAACAAAAAGCCACTGAACGACGGAGAGGAGACGCTGATTTCTGGGAAGGAAAAGGGACTGAACGACCGAGGCAAAGACGTTGATTTCTGGGAACGAAATTTGAGTGAACAACGGAGGCAGAGAGGCTGATTTCTTGGAACATAAATTCACTGAACGACGGAGGCAGAGATTACGAATCATGGTTTGTTTTTCCAGCGTTTTTCCCTTTCATTCTCTGCTGCCAGTTTGTTGTTTAAAGTATAATCCACTTGCAATTCCCATTACCGAATACTAATGAGGGAATGAGTAGTGCTTGAGCATGGATAAAATCATAAATGTAGTAATTTAAGTCAGTTTGGTGACAACACGAAATGGATTTGGAGAAGATGCATTGAGCAAAAATATGATTAAAAAAGAAACTTGCACATAATTGATAGTTTTGTACAGCGTGATGACATGCATTGGAAGATCTTATAGATTTTTTAACGTGTATCCCTCCTGCTTTTGCTGATTTTAATGGTCTGGATAGTTTTCTCGAACTAGTGTTAATAGTAGAAGAACTTTTTAATACTTTTGATACAGTATGCTTCTTCAACGCAATTTTGAAAGTGGCACGGACAGTAGAAGTGCTTTTCCATTTGGAAACCTTTACCAACTTGGTATTCTTCCCCTTCTGCTGAGTTATTTGGGTCCTAGTAATCTTCCAGATTGTGTTGGTTCCCATTACTGAATGCTATTAATCAGAATTCCTTTTTTTAGAAATTACTAAGTACATTGAGCTTGATGTAGTAAAGAAACCAACTTAGATAATAATCAAGACAGAGTTGGGAGCTGCTGTATTGGGCAAGTTATGTGATGCTATTGTCTTTTTTGGTAGGTTAAGAAAATGGGGAAGGATGGAAGCAATGCAAGTGGACAAAGGAGCTCTAATTTTTCTGGTTATGCCTTGTTCACAGAGGAATTCTATAAAAAAACCTCGAGCAAGTACAAATCCCTTGAATCAGGGAATCCACATGTGAGGAAGGCCTGGGATAAATTATCTGAAAAGCAAAAAGAGGAATATTGTCAAAGGGCTAGGGAACAAAGAGCTCCTACAAAGTCCAAGAAGTATATAGTTCCTTTCTACACAAGATGTGCACCTAAACAATTTGTACAAGTTTGCAAGCATGTCAAAGAAAGGAAGGACCTGATGGATAGGCTAAAAAAGATAGGTTTTGACAAGTTGGTTGAATTATGTTGCCACACAATTCAAAGAGAATTGTGTGGAGAGTTTATGTGTGCATTTGACATTCCTACAAAAAGCATTTCCATAAGAGGGAAGAGAAGGAAAATGGGGGCAAATGATGTGCATGACTTTATGGGGCTACCATTTGAGGGGGAAGAGATTAAAGCAGCTGTGAGTAGTGAAGATGAAGTGTTCAAGCAATGGAGGACTGTGTATGGCAATATTCCATACAAGAAGATAGCTTCATTGTTGACCGAGGAGAAACAAGATGAAAATTTTGAGATGCTGTTTGTGATGTATGCATTGGGAACGTTGCTGTGTCCTAATGCAAGTATTTGTGTTGGTGATTATTTGTTGAAGGTCATACTATCAACAAAGGATAGATTGGGTAAGTTTGATTGGTCATCTTATGTGTTAAATGAACTATACAAGGGCATTGGAGTGTACAAGAAACAATTGGAAAAAGGCAAGTTGACTGAGAAGAAGAAGAATATTCCAGGCTGTCTATACTTCCTACAAGTAAGTGCTATTATAATTTGTATATTTCTGTTGTCATTTTATGGTCTGAATGTTGTCAATGGCTGTTGTTAACTTATCATTCATGTCACATGCAGATATATTGTCTACAAAAGTTTCCATTGGGGGAAACAAAAGCTTCACATGTTAAGGATGCTCTTGCATTTTGGGATGAAAAGAAAGTGCAGGAAAGAGTTAACATGGAGAAGGAGAGTGATCAAGGATTATTGCATCCAGCTAGTCAAGCCACCAGTTTTGATCCAGAAAATTTAACTCACCCGGTATGTGGACTTGGAGGCTTAATGGAACTTTCTTTTTTTTTTTTGCTGTTGCTTAGAGATTGAAGTTCTGAATTTAATTTGTGTAGGAGATCAAGAGAACATATGCCCGATTAGTGTCAATGCTGGGAGAAGAAATGATGTCCCTTCAGTCAAGACTAATGAAGGACAGTGATAATGTAAGTGAGGAGGAGAAAGATGAGGAGGAAGAACCTGAGTCAGAGGAAGAGGAAACTGAAGAGGATGGAATTGAATCGGAAGATGATAA